CACACAATTTTAAAAAAAATAGGGCTATAGGGACAAAACTCTGGGGTTTCTGTGGAAGTGTTGGGGGAAAGATGGACAGACCTGGAGGGGACAGGAACCTCACAAGAAGACCAACAGAGACAACTAACCCAGTGACATGGGGGCTTTTAGAGACTGGGACATCAACTAAAGAGCATACATGATCTGGACTAAGGATACCTACACACATGTAGCTGACAGGAGGCTTGGTCTTCACGTGGAGCACCCAGTAAGTGGAGGTGGGGTTGTTTCTAACATAGACTCTATTGCCTGCTTTTGGACCATTTTCCCCTGGCAGGGCTGCCTGGCCTGGCCTTAGGGGATGAAGAGGGACTCAGTCTCGATGTGACTTGATGTGCTGGGAAGGGTTGATACGGGGGGAGGGGATCCCCTTACTAGGGGGAGAGGGGGAAGGAGGAAGAAGAGGAAGGGGGGACTGGGAGGATGGGATGGATGGGCACCCTCAGGATATAAAGTAAATAAACTAAACATAAAAATTGAAAAGAATTATGGCTACAGAGATGGTTCAGTTAGGAGTACTTCTATCTCTTCCAAAGGACCTGAGTTCAGTCAGTTCCTAGCACTCATCCTGGAGGGGAACTCCAACTCCAGGCGTTCTGACACCCTCATCTGTTGTCCAAGGGCACATTTCACACAAGTGGCATATACTCACAGATACAGACACAAGGTACATAAATAAAAACAAATTTTAAAGAAATCTGCATCTAAGGAGATGGAGAGAGAGCACAGCAGTTAACAAGCACTTGCTGCTCTTGCAGAGGACACGAGTTCAATTCCCATCACCCACACAGTGGTTCACATCAATTCATTATTCCAGTTCCAGGAGACCTGAAGGTCTCTTCTGACCTCCTCTGGCACCAGGCATGCACATGTCATATAGACATAGATGCAGGCAAAACAATCATACACATTGTATAACATAAGTATAGCAAAAAAAACGTATTTTCAAAAATCTCCATCTAGGGCTGGAGAAATGGCTCAGAGGTCAAGAACACTGGCCTTCCTAAAGGTCCTGAGTTCAATTCCCAGCAACCACATGGTGGCTTACAACCATCTAGTGAGATCTGGTGCCCTCTTCTGGTGCGTAGGCACACATGCAGGCAAAATGCTGTATAAGTAAGTAAGTAAATAAATAAATAAATTGAAAAAAATACTTTGTTTAAAAAAAATTAAAAATAATCTGCATCTAAACTGGGTATGGTGATGCACACCCATAATTCCAGACCCTGGAAAGCTAAGGCAGAAGGATCAGTTCGCATTTGAGGCCAGCTTGAGCTATGTAGTGAGTTCTATGGCATCCTAGGCTAGTGTGAAAATCTGATCTCAAAAACCATATTATCTGGGTTTGAAGAGATGGCTCAATCATTAAGAACTTAGCCTTAAGGTGTGGCTGAGTAACATAGCTCTTGCCTAGAATGTGCTGTGGGCTCTGGGTTCACTTCCCCAACACCCCCCCACACACACACACACAGACAAAGGAGGCAGAAAATGCTTCGTCCTTTGAAACTATGCATAACACAGAACTAAGGCAGAAAGCTGCAAACCACCATGTCTTCATGAACATTTCAGGAACAGACACACACGTGGTTTCTTAAATGCTTCTGGCAGCCAGGCCTAGTTGTGAAGGCCTATAAACACAACTGAAGCGCAGGCAAGAGAATTACAAGTTCAAGGCCAGTCTAGACCAGTTAGTGAGACTTGTCTCAAAATAAGAAGTAAAAAGAGACCTGGGGGGCATGGGAGAGATGGTTCGGTAGTTAAATGTGCTTATTGTTCTTGCAGAGGCCCCTGGTTTGGTGTCCAGCACCTGCATGGTGGTGACAACCATCTGGATCTCCACTTCCAGAAAACCCAGTGCCCTCTTCTGGCCTCCATGGATATCAGACATGCACTGACTGCACATATATACATGCAGGCAAACATTCATATGTGTGTCTACATGCATACATTATAAAATTAAAGAGTTGGGGATGAGCTAGGCAGTAGTGTTTGCCTAGCATGTGTAAGTTCCCTAGGTTCAATCCCTAGTACCCCAAAGTAAAAACTAAAATGCTGCTGGAATTTCGACTTTGTCTTTAATAAGATAGTTGTGTTGTTGATTTGATTTACTATGAAGCCCAAGTTGGCTTCAGACTTACAAGTCCTCCCAATTCAATTCCCTAAGCACTGGCCAGACAGGTGTACACCAAGATGTTGTCAAGGGGATTTCAGATGTTGTTGATGTGACTGGAGATAACGTAGTTCTTCACTCATCATTACGTTATAAAACATTTCCGCGGAGTGATAGCCAGGTCCAGAAGCCAGACGGTTATAGCGGAGCTAAAGACACTACCCTCCTGGTCATAAACACCTGGCCCTTCTCACCCTATTGTCTGTCCTCCCAGTCTCATCAATAGAAAAATGACACTTCCTGTGACTAGGAAGGCAACAAAATGAATGGAGTTTACTCTGTATAGAAAATGACCTGGGGCTGGAGAGATGGCTCAGGGCTTAAGAGCACTGGCTGCTCTTCCAGAGGTCCTGAGTTCAATTCCCAGCAGCCACATGGTGGCTCCCAACCATCTACACTGAGATCTGATACCATCTTCTGGCACGCAGGTGTACATGCAGATAGAGCACGCATAGACATAAAATAAATAAACAAATCTTTAAAAGACAAGGCCTGGCTGTAGAGAACTTGCTTCTGAATTCCTTTACCCTGCTGGAGGAGAACTCACTAAGGGGCTGCAGGATGGGGGTTTCACACAGTTTTCTATCTAGATGGGTGTGGAAATACATACTTTTAATCCCAGCACTTGGAATAGAGATGCAGGCAGATCTCTGTAAGTTCCAGGTCAGCCAGGGCTACATAGAGTCCTTGTCTTAAAAAAAAAAGTTTTGTTTTGTTTTGTTTTGTTTTGTTTTGTTTTGTTTTGTTTTAATATAGGGCTGGCACATACTGCTGTTGCAGAGGATCTGAGTTCAATTTCAGCACCCACATTAGGTGGCATTACAACTGCCTATAATTCCCATTCCCAGGCATCTTATACTTTGCAGGCAATGGCAGGCACACTTGTGGACACACACACACACACACACACACACACACACACACACACTTTTAAAATATTCAGAGAGAGAGTGTATGTGTGAGAGGGAGAAATGTGTGTGTGGATGTGTGTGTACACAATGACCATGCGGAGGTCAGAGGACAACCCTGTAAAGCCAGTTCCCTTCTTCCAGGTTTACATGGTTTACAAGGGTCAAGCTGAGGTCCTCAGGCACGTGCAGCAAGCGCTCTACCACTTGAGCCATCTCACTGGCCCCTGAACTTTTTCTTAAAGCAGGTCCTTTGCTCAGTGATGTTGCCATCTCAACTGTGTATCTTAGCCTTCCAAGGAAGAAGACCCCACTAATCATGGCAGTGAGGTCCTTCTCCCCCACCAGGCGACTCCTCTGAACTTTCTCCTCCGTGGAAGCTGGAGTTCTCGGGCGTTCTTGAAGGCCTGTTACTGCTTGCTTTTTTCTTGCCCTCCCTAGGAACTATTTTTAAGGACCAAAGTTTTTGTTTTTGTTTGTTTTTGAGACAGGGTTTCTCTGTGTATCCCTGCTGGCAGTCCTGAAACTTACCCTGTAGATCAGGCTGGCCTCAAACTCAGAGACCCACCTGCCTCTGCCTCTGGAGTATGGGGGTTAAAGGCAAGTGCCACCAACACCTGGCTCCAAAACTAACTTTCCTTCTCTCTCTTCCTTTCTTCCTTCCTTTCAGTTGCGAGCCTAGCCTTCAATGGCTGAGCCATCTCTCCAGCCCTCTTTCTTTTTTAAAGACTTATGTATAGCTGGGCATGGTGATGCACACCTGTAATCCCAGTACTGGAATCCCCTGGAATTGGCATTACAGACAGTCCACTCTGCAGAGGTTAGGTCTGGTCCTGACAGGGACCTGAGATACCTCCTCTACTGCTGCTCCTCGGGGCTACCAAGTTAAACCCCAAACAGAGAGAGCAGCATTTACAGAAGCTGGGGGGTCAGCTATTTGAGTGACTTGAAAACAGGCATGGTATACGCCCCAAACCACACTTGGTTTTGGTTTACTGTAGGACTGCATTGCTCAAAGAGGCCTTTCCCCAAGGCTTTATCTTGTTCCTCCTGGGCTATCCTCTGAAGAACCAATGTGTTTCGGTTTTAGAGACCAAGAGAAGCCTGGAGGCCATTTCCAATGAAGCCACTGTGAGGGCATGGGGGTGCAAGAGACTAACACCCTGAGAAATCATGGGCCCTCATTGTCCTGCACACCATAGCCAGCACTAGGAAGGTGCAGAGACTATCAAAGATACCCTGAGTCTTTCACACACCCAAGTCCTACAACATTAGACAAGAGGTGCAGGCTCCAGGGAAAGCCACCCTCTTATCAAGACCTCCCAGAAGCCTTACGTGGACTATCCAGGGTTGCTGGACAAGGCAAGACACCAAATGTTCTGTGAACATGTTTGGGATGGTGCTGAGAGTCTTGTGTATTCTGAGTGCAGTGTGATACTGATGGAGCTGTAGCTGGCAGGTAAATGTGCAATCTTATCTAACACCCTCGGATAGGCCGAGTGGGGCTGCTTGTGCTTTACACGTTGAGTGAATGCTGGAATGACATCTTCCTTGAGCTGGCCCAATAACTATAAGCACAATACCGTGTTTGCCCAAGAGTCTGGGAGTAAACCTACCGAGCTGAATATGCTCAGGATTTGCAGTTGAGCTGGGCGTTCAGAGAATACAGGTGCCTACAACACTGAAGAGTTTCAGAGGGAAAGACGCTCCTTCCCACCAGGGTGGCCACGGTGCCACGCCTCCCTCCAACCTGGAGCCTGTTGGTAAGAATCAGGAAGCCCTGCAGCTGTGTGGGAAAAGCCTGGGCTCTGTTGGTGAGAAAAGGTTGTGAGATGCAACCTAGCTGAAAGAACACAGAAAAAGGACAGGGAACACAACCACTATTTCAGTGATAGAAGCAATCGGTTTAATTTTCTCTCTAGAAACTTAACAGATTTCATGTCACAGATATTTTTTAATAGTGAAAAATATTAATTTTTAAAAGAAAATGCATTTTTTTTCTGGCAAAATCATAGGAACTTTTCAGACACCATAGGCAAGTAGCAGACTAGAGACTCACAACCTGGCTACGCCCACCTAGAATGTGGGCAAAGGAGAGCAGGACATGGAAACAGCTTGGACCCCAGAGAAAGGGCTAACTGGCTGGGATTTCCAAATCAGATTAAACCTTTCCTGTGTAACTATTCATCTGTGGGGCAGAAGGCATGTCTCATGAAGAATACTGCCTCCAGGATACCGTTTTCTTAAATACAGTGTTTGTTTATGTGTCAAAAGACCCATCCTGGGGCGGAGGATGTAGTTCAGTTGGGTGGTTCAGTGCTGGTTTAATATGCATGAAGTCTTGGGTGTGATCTTCAACACTGCAAAAACTGGCGTGATGGCTCTTGTATTTTCAACACTTGGGAGGTAGAAACAAGAGAATCAGACATTCAAGATCATCTTCAGCTACATAGTATGTTTGAAGATAGCCTGAGTTACGTGAGATCCTATCTTTAAAAAAAGAAAGAGAAGGAAGAAGAAAGAAATAGAGAAAGAGAGTTGTATTTTAGCATGATCTCAGCACTTCAGAGCCTAAGGCAGAAGATTGCAAATTCAAGGCTGTATCCTTCCAATATGGACAAGACTAAGGTCACTGGGAAAAACCTAGCTTCAGAAGCCTACTTTCCTCACAACCTTTGAGACTGTGTCTGCCCACCAGGCAGGGTCCACTCTGTACCAAGACAGGGGCAGAGATGGCCCTGTGAAAACCTGACCCACAGTTCATAGCTGCAGCTGGTAGAGTAAAAAATGAGGCATTCAAGGACACGGGGACCCCCAAGGACATGTTCCCAAGAAGTGGGAACAGTACCTTACCTAGAGCTTAGCAGGGAAGGTTTCAAATTCTACCAGTTTCTTAATGTCATTTGGGAAAGTCATCCAGCTGCCACCATCAACCACCAACATAATCCCTGTGACATAGGAGGACAGAGGACTGGCCAGGTACAGAACACTGTGGGCGATCTCAGTCTTGTTTCCAGGTCTTTGCAGAGGGCTTGAAAGATACTTTAATTTCAAACTGGCCTGGGGGCCTCCTGGAAGGCAATAGAAAATCAGGTACCAGTAAGCCCCTAGGCCATGGTGTTCACTGCCTTCTCCAGCCAGCACTCTCCCTGATCCACATCTGGAAACAGCAGTTGCTCTATCAAGCCAGACAACTTTTAAGCCCTGCTACAGTTCTAGAATTATGGGTGTCCCAGACTCCCAGAGACTTACCTAATCTCCGGATCCCCTCAGTGCCACTGATGGGTCCAGGAGCCAGGCTGTTGACACGGATATTGTGGGGACCCCACTCTACAGCCATGTGCCGGGTCATGGCATCTGCATGGGAGAGATGCACACAGGAGGTGAAATGGTGAGGCTGCTCTGCCTCCGGGGTAGCCCGAATGCCAGCAGGAGCTCTACAGCATCCACAGCTAGAATCAAGTTCATGTGGAGATCACCGCCCTCCGGGGATAGTCAAGGGAGGTGGTTTGCAGAGGCCACTCCTACCCACAGCTGCCTTGGCGGTGCCTGCGTGTAGCTGTAGCGCCTGGCCACGCATGCTGAGCGTGGCAGTGATATTCACGATCACTCCTCCGTGGTCCTGAAGCACACAAGGGATGACAGTGAGCGGGTAGCCACAGGAGGAAGGGGCCCATCCCAGGAGGATACCCACCCTGAAGAACTTCTCATAAAGAACACGAGACACGTTGAAGGTGCCAATGGTGTCAATGTCGACCACAGTTTTAAAGGCGTTGAAAGACAAAGCACTAGCAGGACACAGGAAGTTCCCAGCTGCACCTAGAGGATAGACGGGGAGAGCTGGTGGGCTCTGGCTCTGAGAATACAGGGCACTAATAGGCTAAGCCCTGTCAAGAGTACAAAAAGGAGCCTGATGGTCTCTGGACACTGAGAGTGTGAAGACCCTCAAAGTGGCCTAAGGCCGACGAGACAGAACACCAAGCACTCAAAGAATTTCTTGGAGTTGGGCGCCGTGGAGCAGGCCTGTAGTCCCAGCATTTGGGGAGGCAGAGGCAGGCAGATCTCTGTGAGTTTAAGGCCAGCCTGGTCTACAAAGTGAGTTCAGGACAGCCAAGGCTACACAGAGAAAAACAAAACCAAACAAAAAAGTAAAAAATGAAAGAATTTCTTGGGCAACAGGCACAGGATAAAAGGTAATACACCAAGAAGTGAAGTGAAGTCCCAAAACCAAGTGTGGGTGCTGAAGGATGGTTTTGTGCACTGTGTATTCAAAGGCTGATTTCTGTACCCAGAGATTTGGTTGCAGTCCAGAACGTTGGGATTGCCATTACCATAAAGCATCTCCTGTCTCAATGTTGTGTAAAAACTATTCTCCATCACTTCAGATTGGTTAATAAAGAGCAGGGAGAGAGAGAGAGACAGACAGACAGACAGAGAGATAGATAGATAGATAGACAGACAGAGAGAGGAGTCGTCATCAGGACAAGGCTAAATAAAGAGGTGCCAGAGGGAGACTAAAATGACAGGTAATGGGCCACGTGGCTGGGAAGTAGGCCAGACTAGCATAGTCGGGTTAGAATAGCTCAGTGTCTGCCCAACTATAGTTCCTGAAACTTTTAATAAATCTAAAGGCCTCCATGTCATTTATTCGGGAGCTAGGGTGGGCATAGAATGCTTTACTTTTACACATGGATGCAGCACTTGGGGCAGTGGCAGAAGGATCATAAGTTCAAGGTCATCCTCAAGCACACAGTAGGCTTGACCCCAACCTGAGCCTATAGGAGATTCTATCTCACAAAGATAGGTAGGTAGGTAGGTAGATAGATAGATAGATAGATAGATAGATAGATAGATAGATGAATGATAAATTTTTTTTTTATTTATGAATGTGACCTTATTTGAAAATTGAGTCTTTAGCCAGGCATGGCAGCACATGCCTTTATTCCAGCATGCAGTAGGCAGAGACAGGTGGATTTTTGTCAGTTTGAGGCTAGCCTGGTCTACCAAGAGAGTTCCAGGACAGCCAGGGCTACACAGAGAAACCTTGTATCAAAAAACAAAAAACAGCTGGAGAGATGGCTCAGCCATGTTAAGAGTACTGACTGCTCTTCCAGAGGACCCAGATTCAATTCCCAGCACCCAGATGGCAGCTCACAACAGTCTGTAACTTCTGTTCCAGAGGCTCCACAGACATACATGCAGTCAAACACCAATGTACTTACAATAAAAATAAATATATCTAAGGAAAAAATAAACAAGAAAAAACCCACAAAAAATCAAAACAAAAAAAACAAAAAACCAAAAAATAGAGTCTTTGTTATCAAGTTGTGTTCATGCTGAATTAGGGTAAGCACTAATTGATTTCTCTATATAAGAAGAGCAATGGGAACTGGGGGTGTCATCAGGGGTAGAACTCTTGCCTAGCATGCACAAGGTTGTGGGTTCAGTCATCAGAACAGAAAGAGAATATGCAAAAATACAAAGACACATAAGATAGTCCACGAGAAGATGGAGGCAGAAATTAGGGTGATGCAGCCACAAGCCGAGGAACACTATGAATTGGTGCAACTCTGAAAGCTGAGATAAAGCTGTAGACAGGTCCCCTTCTGGAGCCTGCAGAGAGCACAGTTCTGGCAACACCCTGGTTTTAGCCTCTGGGACTAAAGAATTGCAGCTTTCGTTTAAAGCCACAAAGTCTGTGGTTCTTTGTCAGCGCAAGGGCGCTAACACACAAGATGTTTACATTTTTATTTTTTTTAGCTTCTTTTTAAAAATATGTATATATATGTTTATCTTCATTTTGTGTTGAGTGCTTGCCTGTGTGTGTAGCATGTGTCTGGTGCTGTGAAGACCATAAGACTGCCTCTGTATGGTAACAATATCAATTATTGGGCTGGGGAGATAGCTCAGAAGTTAAGAGCCCTGGCTGCTCTTCCGGAGTTCCTGAGTTCAATTCCCAGCAACCACATTGTGGCTCACAAACCATCTATAATGAGATCTGGTGCCCTCTTTTGGCCTGCAGGTGTACATGCAGACAGAACTGTGTATATGAAAAATAAATAATAAATAAATAAATATTTTTAAATATATCAATTATTCAGCAAATGTAACATTTGAGTCATAGCAGACACTGTGAAGTGATTATATAGAATTCTGTTTTATCTACTTACTTATTCTGTAATGCTATGAAGTCGACTTTTTTCTGGGCTAATGATAGTAATCAGGGCTTTTTTTCCACGCTGAGGCCCATTGCCAAGTCTATTATTTTGGTTTACTTGTTCATTTATTTATTTATTTATTTATTTAAAGACAAGGTTTTTTTTTATGTAACTCCAGCTGTCCTGGAACTTACTATGTAGACCAAGCTGGCTTCAAGTTCTCTATGTAGACCAGGCTGGCCTCAAATTAAAGAGATCTGTTTCCCTCTGCCTCGTGAATACTCAGATTAAAACCAGACCCATGCTTTTATTTTAAATTTTATTTAATTTTTATATATTTGTGATGTGTGTAGGTGTGTGTGTGCCGTGGCATGTGTGCGGAGATCAGAGGACAACCTGGGGTAGTGGATTCACTCCCTGGACCCAGGGATGACTCAGGTCTAAGCTGCTCAGCCGTCTTCCAGCCCACTTTTTGTTGTTGTTGTTGTTGTTTGTTTTTCAAAACAAGGTTTCTTATATCCCTGGCTGTCCTTGAACTCAATCTGTAGACTAGGCTGGCTCGAACTCAGAGATATGTACCTGCCTCTGCCTCCTGAGTGCTGGGATTCAAGGCTTGTGCCACCACTGCCAGGCCAGTCCACTTTTTTTAAAAAATAGAAATTTTAGTACACAAGACACCCCTGAATTATGATTTAGTCATGTCCGCAGGGCACCCAGCATAGCTTAGGCTTTCCACCCCTTGGAAAGAGCGAACATAGTCCAGGACAGAGCTTTGGCCTAAACTGTGCCTCTGACAATTGTGAGTTCATAGTTGGGCCGAGACAAACACCTAGGCACTTTGGCGCATCCTTGCCCCAGGGAAAGAGTTCTGGGGCTTCCAAACAGCACTCTCAGCTAATCAGAAGACTATGGCCCCAGTTACTGCTCACTCACAGTTAATGAGGATGTCAATTTTGCCAAATTCTTTCAGTGCCTGGTCTACTGCAGCCATGACAGCTGGGGGAACGCGGACATCCATAGATAGAGGGAGGCACCGCTTTCCGGTGGCAGCAACCAACTTTTCAGCAGCCTGGACACCAGAGAGAAAGAGAATTGGATGGCAGCCTCAGCCTGGAGAAGCACATCCTTCATGGAAAGGACTCATCTACATTACATTAGGACCCCAAGTTTGCTGTGGTAGGTACCTGTGGCAGATCTGTGTTCTGTGGTCTACAAAGTGAGTTCTGGGACAGCCAGGGCTACACAGAGAAACCTGCAGTCTTGTGTCAGGGAGACTTAGCTTAAAAATATCCACCCCCAGGTCTAGACAGATGGCTCAGTGGTTAAAAGCACTGTCTGTCCTTCCAAAGGACCTGGGTTCAACTCCCAGCACCCATCATGGCAGCTCAGAACTGTCTGTAACTCCAGTTCCAGGTGATCTGACACCCTCACACTAATGCACATGAAATAAAATAAATAAATAATTTTTAAAAATAGCTACCCCCTGCGGTCATCCTGCATTCCCTGTAAGACGTCAACTGTCCCAGGTCCCACTTTTTGCCTACCCTCCAGGCCATTCCCCCTGGACCTAGATGGGCAGAATAAATGATCTCCAATATTGGTGATCCTACTGAAAAATTCTAGACCCGTATTACTTCTAAAACCATGGCCCAATAACCAAACTTGTAAAAAGTCAACGGTATCTATGAGGGTCCACTTCCACTGAGCTCCTCTGTTTAAGAAGGAACAGACTTGTTTTGTTCCTATCCCCTGGGGTTCAGAATTCTCCCTGACCCAGGTTCAGCATCCCACAGTCTTCTTCTCACCTTGGACACTCTTGGCAGACTCCTGCTGGCGATGACAGTGTGGCAGCCATGCCTACAAAACCAGACAGCAGGCCTGAGAAGTATGAGGGACACACCCTGGGTCCCTCAAGAGTTTCTTAGCTTGAGGGATGAATTGAGGCTGAAACATGACTGGCAATAGGCACAGGGACTCAGGTAGGGCTGAGTCACTCCAGAAAGAATCCTGGGTGCCAAGGTTGCCCACTCCTAGGTTTCTATGATGTGTACTGGGGTATGATGATGGCTTGGGGTATCCCATGTACATGAGATACCATGTACATGGCAGAAAGGGTGTGTGGGCTACTGGTACCAATCTCAGGTCTGTGCAGGGTCTGCTAGGGCAATGGAGTGAAGGACAGAAAGCCCATTTTGAGAGAGGGAGCCTAGTGGTGACAATGGTTATGACATAGGTTCCACAGAAGTTAACACTACTTTATCTAATCTTCAGGACTGAATAAACAGAGCTTTGTTCTACTAAAAGAAACTGCATAAAGCCAACAGCTCTGAATAACAGTTTAGAGCCAATATCAATTCTTGTGGGACTCACTTTCAGTTATGAAAACGTGGAGTGCTGGGGAGAACTGGAAAAGGGTTCTTCTATCTCCACCTCAGCCTAATTCTGAGCCTCCACCAGCTTCAGTAGTAAGTGGGTAACCCTCTCAATGAGCCCTCAAAACCTGTGTCCAAGAGACACTGTTCTGCGCCATAGCACCCCCCCAATCTATAAGGCTCTGAGGCCAGTTCACATAGTCTCACCCAATTCTAGGAGACCCCAAAAGTCCTGCCTTCCCCCCAGAGCAGCATTCAACCACTCCCCAAAAACCATCAAGGGTCCAGCCAAAGTTAATAAGGTGTGTACCTCATGAAAATCTCAGCGATCCGGAAGCCAATCCCAGAACCACCACCTGTGATAAAGGCCACTTTGTCCCTTCAAAAACAGGAAGTCTTTAGATTTATTTATGTTACCTGTATGAGTGTTCTGCCTGTGTGCCTACAGAGAGTTGAGTTCTCATGTGGATGCTGGGAACCAAACCTGGGTTCTCTGCAAGAACAGTACGAGCTCTGAACCACCCAGCCATCTCTCTAGTCCCCAGAACCTACTTTGAAAGTAATGATTCAGCTCAGTAGAGGATATATGCCTGTAATTCCAGCACCTGAGAGGTGGAGGCAGGGGAACCAGGAATTAAAGGCCAGCCTGGTCTAGAGAGAGAACTCAAGACAGCCAGGGCTACATAGAGAAACCTAGCCTCGAAAAGCCATAAACAATCAAACAAAATAACTAATTTAAAACAAAACAAAACAAAAAAACACAAAACAAAACAGCAACAACAAAACAAAAAACAAACCAAACTCTGTTAACAGAAGGTCAATAGATAGGTGGCCCGTGGAGGCCTTTGACCCCATGACTTTCCACCCAGTGTGGTTGTGAAAGAAAGTACGTTCCTGAGAGCATGAAACCTAATGAGCTTACTAGACACAAATCCCCCGCCATAAAACTGCAATCTTTAAAGTTGGTTATTTTTAGGCTTCCTGTAGGTTCGGGGGTGAAGGAGAATATTTAGCCTAAAATTCTCTGTGTAGTAAGTTACCAAGAGAGACACGTTTCCAAAAACGGAAAAGCTTCCTCCCGCAGTCCCTCATCCCATCCTTCCAGAATCCCCAAGAAACTTGAGGTCTAGGATCCCCCAGGAGAGGGGTACTAGGCACCCATCCTCTGGGCTGTCTCATCCAGCGGCAGATCCGTTTTGACCCCTGTGCCCTGACTCGGGATCGCTTCCTAGTTCCCTGCTTTAGCTCACTGGAGAAGATCCGGGCAGAAGAGGTGGTGATATTCAGAAAGACAATCATCTTCCTCAACGTCGGGCGGCGGCTGGGCCATGACTCTGCGCGCCGGCCGCGGTGGCGAGGACAGCCGAACTGGGAACCAGGTCTACCTTTCCAAAGCAATACCTTAAATTCTGCAAGCTGCTCGCCCCGCCCAGAAATGTCCAGCGCCAGGCTCCCGCCCCCACGCCATCCCGCTCACCAGGCTCACCCTGCAGGGTCGTCCCGCCCACGAGGAGGTGCCTCAGCCCTTCACGCCTTTCTATCACACCCAATCCCGAGACTCCCCGCCTCCAGACCGGCCCACTCCACCCGGCGGACATTCCGCCCACCGTGGCGCGCAGCTTGCTGGGACTGCGAGTGGGAGGATTCAGTGACGCAGAGCGGTACTGCTTAGTCCACGCACCCAAGCTCGCCAGGCGGCGAGATATCGGCTGTGGAAGTCGGGACCATCACAGCTCTGCCTTTTGGACACTCCCTCGCAGTGCAGAGGATCTGGAGCTTGCAAAGCTAATAGCTCCCTCGCGTGGCCAGCCCGGGTGAAAATTCCAGAGTGGCGAGGATCACTGCACTCATCGATTCAGTTGAAGCTGCCAGGCAGGGAGACCAGTGCTGAGAACCCAGAACTGGGTTCCATTGTCGAGAGGTCAGAAAGTGGAATAACTTGTCAAATTAACTTCAGAAGCGGTCATGATTTATCAACTACTTAGTCCAGGGACTTCAGGATCCGGGGTGAGATGTGATTTGCATGTGTCAACGTGAAAATTAATGGACATTAGGCAGCGGTCGCCATCATAGACCACCTCAGGTCAGGAGTGGAGGAGGCTCTTCGGGGCCTGAGAGCACTGAGGAAGAGATGTGAGTACCTTCCACTGTTCCAGCTTCAGGAGACCTGACACACAATACCCACAAAGACTTGGTACTCCTACCAACAGTCTCACTGTGCCTTGAAGAGGCCTAAGGCCCCTACCTAGCCCTTGTTGCCACCCTCTCTCAGAAGAATCAGACTGGGCGGAACTGTGATGGCACCAGCAAAAGAACCTTGTTTGGGATCTTGGTTTCATGAGCCCTGGACTCTTGCGTGGTTCATATATTTACCAAAGTGAAGGGATCTTCCTCCTGGGGGAGTAAAGCTGTAAGTTTCAAGTCTACTGTTCACACCACACATAAAGGCACTCGTCAGAGCGCTTGAGTAAAGCAGTTTCCATCATTGCTGTGGTGACCTACCGGATGCTTGTCCCTGTAGCCATGTCAATGAAATAAGTAGAATACAGTGGTAGCTGGGACTAGGGTAATAGTAATCCCGGGCTTTAAAACTCTACCCTTGACTCCCCACCTAGTACTTCCCACTCGAAGTAGTCTTGGGGCAAGGACACCAGGGCATATAAGAGGTAGGTTAACTGAAAGCAGGATTCTATCACGCTTGATGTCAGTGCCCGGGCTTGGTGGTACTTTTCAGTGGCTGGGGTGTTCTGAGGTCATCCATGCCTCTGGGGCTAACCTCTCATCCATTTTCCTATAAGCCAGTCCAATCAACTCATGGGTTCACCAAGCTAGAAATGAATGAAAGCGTTACTCTGGTCTATTGTTGGTGCCTTATCTGGGGTGAACAGGCATTTGTTCACGTCTGCCCAGGAAAGGTCACACAATGTTGACATGGCAGAAATACCAAGTACACCATTCCCATTTTAAGCGTAAGATTTTAATATCTATCCTCTGAGGCCGGCAAAGTCACCTTTGACAATGCCCCAAAGGTTTGTCTGGCACGTTGGTATGGAAGGATATGGTCCAGTATTGTGTTGGCTTAGGATACAAAAAGGCACATAAAGTTGTGGCTTAGATTCCCCTGGGCTGGAGTTGGACAAAGGGTGAACAAGGAGTGGCTTGGGGAGATGGGAAGGGTGTGGACTTGAGTTCTTGTTGACAGAGGTAGTTGGTCATGAGTGGACCCTGAAGTGCAAAGGATAGTTCAAACCCTCAGGCCGGGTAGTAGCTGCCATGGTGAGCACCGTCTGTCTAGTTCAACAGTTCGCTGCTCTGAAACCACAACTGGATCTCCCTCTGGGCCGCCTCCACAGAATCGCTAGCATGGATGACATTCCTGTGAGAAGTAGAAAAGGTGAAGCCTGTGCCACAGTGAGAGGGGTCGCAGAGATAACTTGCCTCTAGCCTGCTGCCCTCTGTCAGGGGAAAAAGGTGAATATAAAGAAGAGAAAGGCATTTTGGAAATGGTATGGTGCTGCAAGCCTGTAACACCAGCACTGAAGAAGCTGAGACAGCAGGATTGCCTTGAGTTCATGGCCAGTCTAGATTGCAGAGGGAGGCCCTGCCTCAGAAAGGAAGGAGGAGATGGGCTGGAGAGATGGCTCAGCAGTTAAGAGCACATCCTGATCTTGCCAAGGACCTGCACTTGGTTCCCAGCACCCAAATAGGGCAGCTCACGACTACCTGTAACTCCAGCTCTAGGACATCTAACACCCACTCTGGCTTCCGCAGGTACTACAAGCACATGCACAGACATTCAGGTGCACACACAATTAAAAAGGAAGCTAGAGATATAGCTCAGATGGCAGAGTGCTTGCCTAGCATGCACAAAGCCCTGAGTTCAATCCCCAGCACTTGGCAGGGGATTGAATCACCCAGTACTTGGCAGGTAGAGGCAGGGAGCTTACAAATTTGTGGCTGTCCTCAGCAATATAATCAGTTTGAAACCAGCCTGGATTACATGAGATTTTATCCGGAAAGAAAAAAAAAAAATGAAGGGAATGAAGAAGGGGAAGTGGGTGGGCAGTAACTGGGCTGGAAATTTCCATCTAGCCTGGCCCCAGTTTTTCACAAGCTCTGAGAGCTGCCTCCCTACCAGAGCCAACCCTCATGGTTGTCAACCAAAACAGAATACTAGAGAGCCAGAAAAAAAATGTTTCAGTCAGACATGGTAGCATACTTAAATTCAACACTAGTAGAGGCAGGAATATCAAGAGTTCAAGACAGCCTGAGCTACAGAATGAACTCAAAGCTAGCCTGGCCTACCTGAGGACTTATCTCAAAAATAAATAAATAAATAAATAAATAAATAAATAAATAAATAAATTTTGTTGTTGTTTTTAATCTTAAAGCAAACACTTCACTATCAGAAGCCTCTTGGCTTTACTTTCAGCCCAGCAAGACAACCTCTCCTTTTGTTTGTTTTTTTGTTTTTGTTTTTGTTTTGTTTTTTTAGGGTTTTTGTTTTTTGGTTTTTTTTTTTTAAGACAGTTTCTCTGTATAGACTTGGCTGTCCTGGACTAAATTTATAGACCAGGCTATCCTTGAACTCACAGTGATCCACCTGCCTCTGCTTCACTGAGTGCCACCACATCTGGCTTTTATTTATTTATTTATGTTTCACATGTATGAGAGCTCTATCTGCATGATACACCTGCAGGCCAGAAGAGGACATCAGATCCCAGTATAGATGGTTGTGAGCCACCATGTGGTTGCTGGGAATTGAATTCAGGACCTTTGGAAGAACAGACAGTGCTCTTAACCCCTGAGCCATCTCTCCAGCCAAAGACACCCACTTCTCAAGGATTTGGGGGTTTTTTTTTGTCTTTTTTTGAGACAGAGTTTCTTTGTGTACTTGTTCGGAACTTGCTTTGTGACCAGGCCAGCCTCAAACTCAGAACTCCATCTGCTTGTGGCTCCCAAGTGTTGGAATTAAAGGTGTGAGCCACCACTGCCCAACTTTAAGGATCTGTCCTAAGTGTGGGCTGCCTTTTTGTTTGTTCTGGTTTTTTTTTGGGGGGGGAGGGGGGTTCTTAGTGTAACCCTGGTGGTCTTGGAACTCACTCTGTAGAAGAGCTGGCCTCGAACTCACAGAGATTTTACTGCCTCTGTCGCTGGGATTAAAGGCATGTGCCACCACCACCTGGCTAATACTGGCCTTCACTACCCCACATTGGGAGACTAAGGGTATCAGTGCCTCCATACCTGCTGATGTGAACACTGAAGTCTCCCCTGATTGTCCCAGGGGCTGCCTTTATTGAGTCAGTGTGTCCTACCATGACCCTTGAGATGCGGACCACATTGTCCCCTTCCCAGACCTGCAGCATAGATATGAAAGTTAGAAAGTAAGTTGAGGGGCCCCAGATGCCCTGGGCTCAGGCTGAGCCCTTTCATTTGCTTGGGGGAAGACACCCCGTACACCCCCACCCCATTGCTCCCGCCCTGCTGTACCATGACCACCACAGGCCCAGAGCTCATGTAGCTGATAAGGGCTGGGTAGAAGGGCTTCTTCTTTAGGTGATGGTAGTGCTCAGCCAGGATGCTCTCTGGTGCCTGTGGGGAGAGAAGGGCGAGACAAACCCTGGGAGAGCAAACCGCTGACTGGTTTCAGACACAGCTACAGAAATTAGCTCCCAGAATGGCTACCTCCCAATCCTTGCAACTACCAGCACTAGGAGACTTTAGGGGCACCACAGCCAAGGGCAGATACCTGCAACATCTTCATCCCCACCAGCCTGAAGCCCCGCATCTCAAAGCGTTGTATCACAGTCCCCACTAGCCTCCGCTGCACCCCATCTGGTTTCACCTTAACCAGCGCCCGCTCCTGAGGCCAGGAGGGTCCTCCTGTAAAAGAGGAAGGGTCGGGGGTGAGGATGCCCCCCATTTTCAGGTCCCTCCCACCTAGATCCCTGACAGAGCTCAGACATCACAGTCCTGGAAAGTGCCTGCCACCATGTCGGGAGGTCTGGAAGAACAAATACAAACAGGGGCTGCCCTGGCAGTAAGCAGAAACAGCCCAAGGTGGAGGTGGTTTCCCTAAAAAGGCTCAGATAACTTAGAGAGGCCTGGCGATGATGACCTCCTGGAAAGAAAACTTAAGTCTAGCCTCACATGACTCCAGGGTACCAGACTCTATGAAGCCCAGACCTACCCACTGGGGGCTTATCCTTTGGGTGTGCAGAAGTGGCATGAAACCACAGAAACTTCTAGGACGGCTGAGTCCTGGGGACCAAGGGGTAGGAATTAAAAAGGACGATGATGGGGGATGATGAGGACTGGAACCAAGCTGCCCGCGGGTCCATGTTGCCCCTCAGGAGAACACTTTTATCTCCAAGTCTGAAGTTGTCCTAGTGCTCCTGCTACTGCCAAGGCATTGAGAGCCTCCCCCAAGACCAAACGCTACTCTGAGAGGATCCTAGCCCCTGGCTGTCTCACAAAAGTGCACCAAAGTTAAGAGAAACGCCAAGTTAAGAGTTTAGAAAAGGGAGAGCAGGCTTCATCCTCAGGCCACAACGGATGCCCACTGAATAAAACGCAAGGAAAGAAGTCTCTCTTGATCATTCCCCAAACCGAAATGACAGGAGACCCAGGATAGCCCCAGAACTCTGGTGCCTGCTTGTCTGTGCCTTGGTGAGACTATTCAATTTCCAGAGCTCATGAAAGAAAGGCTCTCAGCATCCCATTAATGGGTAGCAAGGGCCAAGACCCCAAGAAGTGGCCGGGTTGTCTTGGGCCTGCTCTGACTCAGGTTGGCTTTCAATCCCTGGAAACAACGGCTGCCTGAAAATGTGACCCCACACCCTTAGGAGCCTCGGGTCTGCTAGTCTCCCCGCCGAGGCTTTGGCTTTCTTCTGCTCAAAGCCCTGATTTTCTGGCTGTTGAGGGTGGCGCTTGCACGGTCCTTAGGGACAAAACCAAGCCTTCGGCTGCTGCACGTGCGCAAACAAAGGCCGCGCAGCCGCCATCCGCCCAGCTCCCCACGGGCGAAGGACTCACCGGAACTGGGGCGCACTAGCAGGCCTGGAAAGCGCGGCCCGCACAACAACGCCCGCAGCGCGGCACGCCCAAACAGGTAGCTCATGGCGCGGGCTGGCGCGGCGCCGAACGCTGCGCTCTGAGTGGCAGAGGGTGGTGCCCCGCTTCGGCTCGGCCCGCCTCGGCCCGCCCCGCCTCGCCCTCCCCGCTCCGCCCCGCCTCCACCACCACAGCCGGGTGGGGCCGGTACTCGGATTCTTTGGAAGAGAAGACCATGCTCTTAATCACTGAGCCATCTCTCCAGCCCATAATTTATTATTTTTTTTTGAAAAAGAATCTAACAAACTGTCTGAACTTAAAAAATTGTTCAGGTAGCCGCGGTGGCACACGCCTGTGATCCCAGCACTCTGGGAGGCAGAGGCAGGCAGATCTCTTATGATTTTTGAGGCCAGCCTGGTCTACAAAGCAAATCCATGACAGCCAGGGCTCTGTTACACAGAGGAACCCTGTCTCAAAAAGGAAGAAAAACAAGAAAAAAAAAAAATGTTGAAAAAGTTTGTTCAGGTTAGCCGGGCAGTGGTGGCAGACGCCTTTAGTCCCAGAACTCAGGAGGCAGAAGCAGGTGGATCTCTGAGTTGGAGGCCAGCCTGGTCTACAGAGTGAGTTCCAGGACAGCCAGGGCTACACAAAGAAACCCTGTCTCGAAAAACAAATGAACAAACAAACAAGCAAATAAAGAGTCAGGTGTTAAAAGCACTGGCTGCTCTTCCAGAGGCCCAGAGTTTGATTCCCAACATCCTGGCAGCAGTTCACACAGTTCACTTGGTACCATCTAAAACTCCAGACCTAGGGGATTTACCACTCTCCTCTGGGTCTATCAGGTGCCAGGCACATACCTGATGGCCAGGAAAATGTACACAAGCAAAATAACTATAACCATAAACTAAATAAACAAAATTAAAGAAAGACTTTGTCTTTAAGATTCTAAATTCAATCCCAGCACTGAAGGGGAAAGAAAATAGAGGAGGTCACTCTTCTGTTCAGGCTGGCTCTAACTCCTGGGCTACCTTCTTGCTTCAGCCTCCGGCCCACATGACTTTTGCCTGTCTCTCTGCCTTTAAGTATTTAGTCCATTAATATTTAATGTTATTGATATGGCTAGATTTAGATCTATTTATTTATTTATTCATTTAAGTTTGTTTTTCATTTTCTTTTGTTTTTGTAAGACAGAGCTGCATGTATCCCAGCTATTTATTTCTGATTTTGTTGTTGTTTTTTCAAGACAGTGTTTCTCTGTGTAGCCTTGGCTGCCCTGGACTCGCTTTGTAAACCAGGCTGGCCTCGAATTCATAGAAATCCACCTGCCTCTGTTTCCAGAGTACTGGGATTACAGGTATATGCCACTGCACCTGGTGACTATTTTTAAAAACCCAAATCTTTATTGTATAGACATTCACATAAAAAAGAAATATCTACCTACCTACCTACATTTCCCCATTTCCTCCTCCTCCTCAACGCCTCTGATATACAGGACATTATCACACCTTATTAGAACTTCACGCAGATGTCCAGACCTGCCCCATCTAAATATTCTTCTCTGTTTACAAGCTGCATGCTTATGTAGCTGTATACAGAGACCAGGCAGCCCTTGTATTCCATTCCCCATTTAGGTTTACCATCACTGGCTTTCCTGTCATTCCTTTGAGAAAAGGCTTGGGATTGAGGGGTAAACTCATCACGAACATTCCTGAGCAAGCGCTGTGCCCCACTAGCCAGAGGCCCCTCATGACTGGAGCAGCTGCTGCTAACCGGAACCAACCAACACTAAGAGAAATCGCTGCCAAAAAAATAGCTGTTTATTTCTTAAACATGTTTTTCTCTTTCTTTTTTTCTTTCCCTTCCTTCCTTCTTTCCCTCCTTCTTTCGTTTCTTTCTCTTTCTTTTTTGTTTTGTTTTCTTTTTTAGATAGGGTCTCACAGTATATGTGGCTGTCCTGGAACTAGCTTTGTGAAACGGGCTGGCCTCAGATTCAGAATTCCACTTAAATACCAGGAACTAAAGGCACTGCCATGAGCAAGGCAGTGGTGTCCACTTTTTTTTTTTTTTTTTTTTTTTTTGAGACAGGGTTTCTCTGTGTAGACCTGGCTGTCCTGGCACCAAGCTGACCTCAAACTCACAGAGATCCACCTGACTCTGCCTCCCAACTGCTACAATTGAAGGCATGCACCGCCATGCCTGGCTAATGGTGCACACCTTTAATCTTAGAACCCAGAGGCAGGCGCAGGCAGATCTCTGAGTTTAAGGCCAACCTAGTCTACAGAGTAAATTTCAGGATAGTCAACACGGAGGTACACAGAGAAACCCTGTCTTGAAAAAACATAAAAAGATAAAAAATAAAAAAACATTGCCATCATCCTCAGATGTTTTTCTATTTATTATTTACTTAGTTAGTTAGGTTTTTGTTTTGTTTTGTTTTTAAGAATCTTAAGATTTATTTATTATTGATACAGCATTCTGCCTGCTTGTGTGCTGTGGACCAGCAGAGGGCACCAGATCTCATTTTAGATGGTTGTGAACCACCATGTGGTTGCTGAGAATTGAACTCAGGACCTTTGGAAGAGCAGCCATTACTCTTAACCTCTGAGCCAGCTCTCCAGTCCCTCATTTATCGACTTATAAAGAGAGTGTATGTTAGTGCATGCACACGTGGAAGAGTTTGTATGTAGTGTATGCGTGCGTGTGTGTGATGTACACACGTGTATATGCTCTGAGCAAAGGCCAGAAGAGGACATTCGTTGTCCTCTTCCATCACTTTCTACTTTATTCTTTTGGGGCAGGGTCTCTTCTAGAGCCTAAAGTTCTTGTTTGTGTTGGTAAGCTGTTAGTGACCTAGGCCTTCAGTCCTCCTGCCTTCACTGCTGTCCATATCGCTGGTGTTACAGTTGCTGTCAAGACCGTGACTGAACTGTGACAAAGGTGCTGGCATCCAGACTCGGATCCTCCTTGCTGTGCAACACGTGTTCTGAAGCCAGACAGAGCCAGATCTCCAGCATTTGTTTGTAAAATAATATAATGTGTTTTTTTTTTTTTTCTATTCCCGTTTTAACTCCCAAATGATGAGCCAGAGAGCTACTGGACTTATTAATAAGCTTTGAAATACTAAGCTGGGCTGGGCACAGTGGGGCACACCTGTAATCCAGCACTCAGAAGGCAGAGGCAGGCAGAGCACTGTGAGTTTGAGGCCAGCCTGGTCTACAAAGCGAGTCCAGGACAGCCAAGGCTACACAGAGAATCCCTGTCTTGAAAAAAACAAAAAAGTACTCCAGCTGGGCAGATATTGATCTATTCTAACCTGTCTACTGGCCTGGCTGCTTCCCAGCCATGTGCTCATGTTACCTGTCATCTTAGCCTCCTTGGCTGCTTCTACTCCATCTGTCTGTCCTAATGGCAATCTCCTCCTCTCCTTCTCTGGTCCCTACCTGATAGCCCCTGACTTTAGAAGAAAATAATATTAAGCGAATAGCTAGGAAACATAGAGCTTCTAGAACTAAAAAAATAACAAAGACAGTTAACTGCCTGGACACTCACCAGAGGTTACTCTGTGTCGTGGGGAGCATCCAATCGTCAGTCTACTGGCCCATAATCTGTGACAGAGTTTTCTGTGAAGCAGGAATTTTGAAGGAAGGACCACTTAGTCTCTGAAAAGTTTGGCTGTCAATTTCCCAGTGTTCTGCTTTTTCACAGTTTGGGCAGACAGCCCACTATTAGCAGTTGAAGAACAGTTTATTCTTCCATGGTAATCTTGCCACATTTGTTTCTCTAAATGCTCATCATTTTCTTTTTAGTAGACTAGAGGTGCTGCTAGGTGCAGATGTGTCTCTCTATCAGAATAGCTTTTTTTGTTTTTGTTTTGTTTTTTGAGTCAGAGCTTCTCTGTGTAGACTTGGCTGTCCCGGATTCACTTTGTAAACCAGGATGGTCTTGAACTCACAGTAATCTGCCTGCAGAGCTCTGCCTTCCGCATGCTGAGATTAAAGGCATGTACCACCACCACTGGCAAAAAATCCTGTTATTATTAAACTATCTTTAAATGCCATATTGTAGAGATCTCTGAAGTGTTTGAAGGCCACCTATTTATCTACCATTATATAGAGCATATTCATATCTATCTATCTTAGTATATTAGAGCAATGTTGCTTGTTTCTAGCTATGTACTATCTGCTTAAACTTGAAAACATATACAAGAGACTAAATAAAGCTTATTTCTGTAATTAACTAAACTAGTATCTAACAAGGCTACAAGTAAGATTATTTACAGGTGACTAATTACTAATTTGCATCTCTAATTATCCTGAACAGTTTGCAATAGTTAACTTTCATAAGACTAGAACTTTACAAAAAACAGACTAGAAATTTACATCACATTTTCAAATAAGTTGTATATGTACAACACACTAAGCAAAAGTTGAACAAAACAATCTTAAATTTCTATAAATATACAATAATCCATACTAATATATATTTTTGAGACTAGTAGATTCAATACTCTGTCTTTCATCCTATCATCCTATATCCCCCCTTTTCTTTTATCATTCCCCCTTTCTCCTCATTTCCCCTGACACTAGCTAAGAGAGAAAGATTAGAGAAAAAGGATAGAGGGGAGAAAGAAAGAGATCCCTGATTCCACCCTTTACTTTGTTTCCTCCCTTACCGTGACCAATCCAAAATACACCAAATATTTTGACCAAATTTTGACCAAATATTTGACCAAAAATACCCACCCAACATTTTGGAAATAGGGGTAAAATTACTTTTTGCTGTCTGGGGGTAAAAACATCTTCTAGGTACCCTTAGAAAATGAGGATATTGGCCAAGTGCTGAAAAAAACTAGCTGTATCTTTTTCTGTCCAATCTCTGTGTTTTCTTTCCAGTCTCTGTTTTCTGTCTAGTCTATATGTCTTAGGTCCAGTCTGTGTGCTTTCTTTTTATTTATTTGTTTGTTTGTTTTTGTCTAGTCTCTGTGTTTTCTGTCCAGTCTCTGTGGGATGATCATTTGGGCTAGCCCTTTTGAAGTTGACCCGGATATAGGTTCTTGAGGAAACAGTCTTGAGGCAGTCTGAGAGGCTGGATCAGCTGGGATACTTGCTTCATCTTCATTGTTATCTGGTC